GCGGTCTGCGCAAGTCACGAACATACATTTTTTCTAGACTTGTGTTATAAATATGCTACCACAATTTTTTTTCTGTTTATGTCTGGTTGTACATATAACAAAGGCAAATGAACTAACGCTTGCTATAATGATGGGGCTTGAGAGCAAAATTTAAGTAATGCCGAATTTAAGTTCCATAAGATAAACAAAAGCAAAGGGTTGTTTGTTTGTCGTTGTTACGTTTCCGAGATCGAAAGGGAATGTTTCGAGTAATGTTTCAAACTCTCTTCAATTGGAATGTTTCGGCTATGTTTCACTAAGTAAGTTTTCAAGTGCTACATTCCTGTAATAAAACAGCAACGTTTCTAGTTATTGTTTCAAATGTGTAGTAAAACAGCTCATTTGCAACGTTTCATTTACGTTTCGTGTTTAGTGGGTAACGAGCGAGTGGTTCCCTTTTTTATAATACTTAACGTATAGGAGTTAAATTTAGACAACAATACTTGCACAATTAAATATTTTTTATTCATGTTTGGCAAAATACAACTATATACACCGAACGCTAGTAGCTTCCGCTTGATTAATTCCGATATCCAGCCACTCACTTCGCCACGCGACCAAAAACAAACCCATCACGAAACCATCAGCAACGCCACACATTCAACAAATTACAAATCTATTGTTTGCAGCTGTCACGCAACCCAAAAATGAATGAGAGGGGTGTACAAGGAAAGGGTAGTTTTAATATATATCTCATGGCTCCGAGTGGACTTGTTGCGCATGCTTGTACGGTGACGGACGCTCGGCGTCTAGACCCCTTCAGACTGCTCGACCGTCAGGACGCTACCTAAAGCCGTGCCTCTCTGATAACGACCCATTTGTAATTAGTGACAAGTGTTTCACCCCCTCAGTGCTAATGCCGGTCCTCTTCTTCGGGCATTGAGCTATGCTGGCTTCCCGCTGACTACCACGTCGTCGATCTGCTGCGGTAAGTTCACTTCAGTTTTTAGCTCATGTTTTGATTTCAGCCGGATTGGAATCGCGAAGAATTAATTGCCCATCATTAAAAAAAATGTGTTTCTGTTTAATTGTAACCTAGTGTTTCGAAACGAACAATTTATTTATGAGCAAGGGAGCAATAACTATGTTTTAGCTCTTATCTTATCAGTAATCTACGGTTCAAACAATCAACAGTTATTAAATACAACGCTGTGATTTACATTTACAACACGACATTATTAACTATTCATAAAGTTGCCCCTTTTGCGAGTTGCATGTTTAAATGCGCTGTCTTTAATCTAATTTTACAAATTTGTTTAATTGTTCTGCACCGGATTGTTTTAAGCTACAAAAAGAGGCGATTAAAATATATAAATAGACTTTAAGTAGCCGTCATTTATTAAACTAGCCACTGTATGTTTATATTTCTATGTTACGATAACAAAGCTAAGCGTCACTGCCAAAAAATTGTAGGTACCTACGTCGAGCAAACGAATGTTTTAAATTTGGAGCAAATTTTTTACATGGAAAAGTAAAAATCTATAAAAGCTCCATATAGTTTTGAAATATAAGCCGAGTTGTGTGACTTTTAGTCAAGTACATCGATTACAGTGTCAAGTATGCTAAATTCGTATGCACTAATTATTATTATTATGCTTCACCATGTATATTAGGCAACTCTTTATGTAGATCCGTGATTTCCTTGATTTTTGTGTTCCCATCTAACATCGTCGTCATTAATTTCTTAATTAATTATTAGTAAGTTATATTTTTCAAACTTTCGAATTTTACTCTATGATTATTATTAAATTATCCACAACAGTGGGAAAATATTTAATTTTTGAAAATTTAAAATATTTTTAACTTCAAGATTGTCTGTCAGACAACTTACTGGTTGTATCAAAACTTTTCATTTCAGGAGCACGAAAACAAGAACACATACTTTACTTTCCAGTCGATTTTAATTTTGGAGAGGCGGTTTAATTTAGACTAAATTGAAACATGCTTTTCACTAATAAAAACTAGTTTACTTTACTGAAAGCCAAGCGCTTTCTAAGTTAAAGACGCCCAAACAGATCAATAGGTTTTGAACACAATTGCGTTGGAAAGTCAAATGAGTAGGATCGTTTCCCATATTCTTTTATTTTTTATTAAAATTGTGCTATGTGATTTTGACACACAATCTTAAATACTTCACCATCACTTTTGACTGTTTTTGGTAGTGCCATCTATACGACATGGATGGATCCCCTAGCTTTTATTTGCTTCTACCCTTCTGTGAAATTTTCTTCTCGAAACTTCTTTCTCATATCAAAAGCGATTGTTGATTAATGGTAGCTTCCAAAATAAATATTCATTGTCAATTTGGTAGTTTTATTATCACAGGACAATAACATTAGCGGGGTTAAAACAGTGTACCACTTGTTTTGGTCGTAGTTGTACTGTATTCTGTATTATTGTATATTTACATATTCAATAAAAAATGTATCTGTCAGATCACACTCGCCAAAAGCAATATTGGTCCGCTACTGGCAATACAATTTGTACATGAGTGGCATGTATGTACTTGAAATTCGTTTGTAGATTTGTAAATCAGTTTAAATATAGTTACCAATGTTTCCATTAAATTATGTAAGATATAAATAGCGGATATGGTTACTGGGATGAAAGGGAAATAAGCCGTTCTAAAATACTTGTGTTTATTTTTACAGTAATTATATTTTGCGTGAGAGCCAAATTACAACCAAGACGAAACAGAGAACGATTATAATTTTTTTTTTCTAAATTAATATGTCAATTAAGCTCTGCAACATTTGCAATAAAAGCCAGTCGAATCGGTTTCTCTGTATGCGCAATTTCATACGTAAAAATATAAAAAGGCATTTTTTTTATTTTGCACTTATTTTGTGTGGTAGCTCCACGTACACGACATATTGGGACACCCCGTGTAATATAAAACTTTTATCTTGTAATTTTGGAAAATATTCTGCAAACTTTGTCCTAAATTCTTTAACTTTCGCACTTGCTTTTGAGAAATTCCAGCTGCGATTGCTAACAAAGTTTAAGGATTAATTAGAGTAAAAGTTAAACACTTCAGTATTAAAGTTGTCTTCCGTTTGAAATTGGAAAACACGAGCTCTGGTGTGCAAAATAATGGGATTCATTCAAATAAGCGATTCGCTTCGTTTGGACGACTTTTTATTAATCAATGCTGTCCTACGTAATTGAAATTTTATCCCATCGTTTCTAAAAATACGTTAATGGCGATGGAAAGATCGTTAGTTTTAAATTTTGCCTTCAAATATCAGGGCTATTGTAAACTGAGACCTTTAGTGCGTTCGATATCATTTTAAGCTAAAGGTTTAAAGGTTAGGGATTCGTCTTTAAGAAGCGATATTATTTTATTTTATGTCATATTTTCGTGGAACATAAAACTATAATGCGACAAAAACAACGAATAAAGCGAATCAATAATAATCAGTATCTGACAATATGCAACATATGACAACTGTGTGTAAAAGTGCATGACATTCGAGATGTCTATTCTGTAAGCTTTAAGTACGAAAATGGATATCGATTCCCGGAAAAGTTTTGTTAGCAAGTTTGTCAAGGGAAGTTTAGCCTCAAATTGAGACGAGATCAGTCCCATATTTTCTGATATATTACAATAAAAGGAAACTATTGACTCATTCAATGTATATTCACACAAAAATAATGTTAAGTTTGATTGATTTCAGTATTTTCAGTTCAATCATGTGGAATACAGTATACACCAAGAAAAGTTGTTATTTAGGTTTTCAGCAAATAATTATTCCGTTTATCGGTTAATCATAATATGATTGCAAATACTGAAATATAATTTTCTTTACTTAGAGAAAATTGTAGGCTTATTTTAGGAATTAGCTTTTGAATAATTCGAATTAAAAAAAGATCTAGTATTGCGCGACAAGCCATAATTTTGATAAATAAATTCACGAATCACCGCAACATATGAAATTAATTAGTCTTGCGTGGACTTTAATTCGATAAAATAATTTTCCAGTTTCCTTTTGGCCTACATTATGATAAAAAATATTCGGGAACGGGGAAAAATAATTCAAAGTCAGTAATAACACTGTCGGTATTTTAATTTCTGAAAAATATACCTATATAACAGTTTTATCATATATTTACTATTTACTTTAGTAATAATAAAAATATATACATATTTTGGTGCGATAATCATAAATTTTTAAAATAAATTAAACAAAACACTGACAAATAACAAAAATATAAACTATTAACATACCGGATGTCCCAAAAAAGACCTCAGAGAATTGAGTCCTATCAAAAATGGTATCAGATGAAAGGAAGAAACCATTATCAAAATTGTTATCAAGGTTATACTAATAGTTTTAGTTAAAAACGTGTATTTTAGATCACATTTTTTTTAATGGATTCCAAATTTTTGTTGATTTTTAAGAGAAAAACGCAAGAACATACAGAAAAAACTTTGTGACCCATGCTTGGATGTCAAATTTGGCTTTCTATCGTTTGCTGCTATAAAAAATAAAGCGTTCCATTTAATATTCCCAAGTTGACCTTGGTTTGACATTGAAACTTACAATGAAGGTGAAACTCAAGGTCACTAGCAAGTTGGTTGGTTTCTACTACTTTTTTTTTTGATAAGACTCAATCCTAAAAAGTTACCGAAGGTTTTTAGTATTCGGGACATCCTTACAAATTCACAAATAAATCACAATGAATTATCTTACGTGTTAGTTTATAAAATTGGCTAGTTTCACGAAACTGTAACTAGTTGATAGAATTATAAGTAGGAACATTTTCGTACAGCAGATTCCGCGTCCTGACCCTATTAAACAGAAATATCACAGTGACGGCCCCCAACAAAGCCGATCCCCCACACACGTTCGTCAATACGTCCCTGTAGTACGTCGTGTCCGAAGCGTCGTTATGCAGATATTGTATAATTACGACGGCTACCCCGTTCGCCAGTTTATCCGTGAAGCTCATCAGCCCGTATATGAAAGCGCCGCTGTCGGTTTTTTCACCAATCAAGTCGGTCGTTATCCCCAGACTGGACACGAGGATGATCGAGCCTCCAGAACCTAGCAGGCAAGCTACCACGTAGATGTAAGACGACACGTAGCCTTGGCCTTGCCCGAACTTTATCCAAATACAGCCCGCGATACCTATAACGGCCCCAATCGCGTAGGTTATCTTTCTCCCACAAAACCTGTTTATCCTTTCTATTGAGGTGGAGGTGATCAAACTGCCAACGTACATCGTCAGTGGTACCAAGGCTAGAGAGCTTGCGGCCATGTTGAGCGTTTCGTGGAGGTACAGAGGGATGAAGACCTGAGTCAGATTGACGAATAACCTGGAAGCCATGTAGACGATGGCGACTTGGTAAACTTTGAAAGAGGTGAACAGTTCCCTCATGCTGATCCTCAACTGCCCACCCCTGACGTTCTGACTGGTCCCGTTGTCAGTTTCTTTGACGAAGAAATGGAAAATCAACGTACACACTATGCCTAGCGACAGAACTGACCACACCACGTGCTGGAACTTGGGCCCGTCCTTGGGTCCGATCCTGGAGTGCTCGCCGTTGTCCAGGTGCAGCACCATCCAGGTTATCACGTAGACCAAGAGGTTAGATATCACAGTGAAGCAGTATCGGACGGCGGTGAGTTTGGTGCGGTCTTGTTCGTTGGGGGTCAGCTCTGGTATCAAGGACAAGTGCGAGATCTGCACAGAAGCCCAACCAAACTGGAAAATTATTATGAATATGCAATAGTAGAAGATTTGCGCCGACTTGTGGCTCTCGGTACACCCCATGCAAGGGGAAAAGATGAAAGGGAAAGCTCCCAGGACGCAAATGGTGCCGAACAGGTGCCACACTTTCCGCCTGCCGTATCGGCAGAACCAGAAGTTGTCGGACTGGTCGGAGTGGTAGCCGACGAAGGGGGTGGCTATGGCGTCCGCCACTTGACCCACCAGGAGCATGAATCCCGTCTCCCAGTTGCTGAACTCCAGGACTAGGTGGAAGAATACCAGAAGGTACGTGAACCACATGGATGCGCAGACGTCGTTCAGGACGTGACCGACGCCGTAGGCTAGGTGTAGTTTAAAGGGTAGGCGGCTGTACACTTCTGTGTATTCGTCGCTTATCAGGTGGCCGCTGGCTTCCATTTTTAGTTTGCGGAGCTTCCTTTTTATTGTCCTCGTTAATCTAGCTAGGCTTAGGTTGAGAAGCATAAGTGAGGATTTTGAATATGTCTTTGTTGTTGAACGCAGTTGCTGCTATTTTCATGCTTGTCAATAAGGTCTGCAACAAAATTTAATCTATTCAATATGCCGTTTTCATTAGTCTTTTGAAATTTTTTTTTGATAGCTAAGGTACATGTTACAGCGAATGTGAATATATTTTTGTGAAACAGCAATCGCAATTTTGTTGTTCATATCACAAGTACCTGTTTCAGAAAAAATCTGGGAAATTTTACCAGGTTTTATCCTTTATTGTTCTGTAATAAATTACGTTTGATTCTGGGTATAATTTTGGGTATCAGAAAGTTCGATTTCGTTCGTTTTAACCGATCTTTAAATTTTATTCTTATTTAATAGCAGAATATAATATAAATAGAAATTTTGGAATAATTCTTTATATTCATGTTCTTGTATATAGAGCCTTCACAAATGATTACAAGTCATGAGACCGATAATTTTGTTTGGAAAAGTAATTTTATTTAATTTCAATAACCTTTTGTTTAACCAGCTGGTGATTGGTTTAACTAGGATCAATTCAACCAATCAGCGATCGCATTATCTAAAGCTTAAACGTAGTGGTTTGTCATTTGTTCATTGTAAACATTTAAAATATATATTTAAGTTTCACTGTTAAAAAAAATAAGTTTGTAGGCAGTACAGTTTAGAATTTCGTTAAAAATTAAAAAATCTTTGCCACCTGCTTGTTCTTAAATAAAGTGGTATTTTAAATATATCAAATTTTTTACATATATTATAAGCATCATAGAACTGTGAAAAACTAGATTCGTAAATTTTATGAATCATCTCATCACATGAATTTGATGTTATTTCTTGCGTCATGTTAGTTGTTGGTACTTACAAATACAGAGATAATAATTATTCAGGGAAAACCAGCAACCAAATATTTATCATCACAACTATTAGTCTACGACCCACTAAGGAAATCGTCTACACGTTTCCGAATTTACCGAATTTTCGTCGCACTTTGTTTTATTTTAATTATCATCTGTATTATACTTTACCTGAAAGTCGTGGGTAATTTTTGAAACGGCACTAAAAACACCTACGTCTACATTTTCTGACAGCGGACAGAGAACAGCTGTTCCAGTTCGTTTGTATTTTATTCAGCACGGCTACATTCGCATTCGTCAGTCGCACGCAGCGTTGCCAGATTTACTGTGAAGATTTCTCGATACAAAAGTTGATGTACCTAATTATACATTATTTCTAAAAATCCTCTACGAAACATCCATTTCACTGATCTTCCTAAAAAAATATACAAAATATACTAATGTATTAATAGGGTACTAGAGGTTTTCCCCACCATGTAAATGTTATTTGGGTTGTGCACACCCCCCCTCTCCCCCTCAGAGAGCCCAGTGGCCACCCCAGAAAAAAATGATTCAGTAAATATCATCTTTTTGGTCGGGCTAGCCGGCTGAGCAGCTGCCCCATCAAGGTCCACCCCATACAAAAATCATACCTACGCCCATGTCAGTATTTGATCCCAACTATGGTCCTGATTACTTGGTAAAATAAAAAAATACTGAAAGGTCATACAAATCGAGTTTATAAGAAAAAATACACTCCAAATATTATCTTTTCCTTTTAACTACTAACAATTAAGAAATTTGACAAAAAAATACGTGCAATAAATATATCTCCATACTTTCTATTTTTATTTTGACAAACATACATTAACGTCAATACGTAAATTTGAAGATATTTCGGGGAATATCTTTAATCTAAATTAGAATTTCACGATTTGGCAACGTTGCTGCACAACGATCGATAGCGTTCTCATTGCTCACTGGGAAGTGGTGATTTATTATTGTTTATTCTTATCCTTATATTAGTACACAGGATATATTTAAACACAAAATGGCATTGTTTTTATTTGTTTATACAATTTTCTTTTTTTGTATCAGTTGTCACTGGAATGTAGCCTTTTGCTACGTATATTCTTTGGGTACTTCCCACAACGTAATATTTTTCGAGATAGCGTTGAAACAAACACAAGTCGAAACAGAAGCATGCGATAATCGACAGCATATTGTGTAATGTTACAAAACAGTGTCACAATGACTCATTCGTAGTATATTGTATCCTCGTTGTTAAGAATTATGAAAAATACGTTTATTGGCTATATCTGAGATATTTTTTGAGTATTACTGTCTCTGCAGTGATCTAATATTCACAATTCAATTTGTCTCCTCATAGTTTAACAATTATTTACGTAAATTTAAAAGCAGGTACAATTAATTAAATTAATAGTTAATGAAAACTAAGTTTTAAGTTCAATAAAATTTGAGATGAAGTAAATTATAATATAATTAATATTTATCGCATCATTATCTTAACATATGTTTGCAACCAGTTCTGAAAATGGGAAATAATGAAACGGAACTAAAAACACCTACGTCTACACAAAAACGGTTGTAATTTAATACATATTATGATAAATAAGTAGAACAATTTAGTGATATCATATTTTCCTGGACAATATACATTTTGGAGCCTGCACTACTTGATAATGTCACAGATATGACCTTTGCTCCGTATTGATACCCAACAATGCAAAGAGAATTAAATCAGTTTATGTGTTTTAACATTTAAAAAATTACCTCAGTTCCTCAGTATCTAAAACGTAATTAGATTACTTAGGAATTGAATAAACCAGATGTTCTGTTAGGTACTCATTTGTTTGGTTAATGTTTCCTTAGATTTGGTCTAAAAATACCTTATTTAAAAGTTGATGGTTTGTCAGTAAGACACCTATTCCTAGTTATTGATCTAGATATTAAATAATTCATCCAACGCTCATTCCTTGAACGTAGCTCGAAAAAAAGTATCAATGTCCTTTAAACTCCGTCTACTTAATGTTATTCTTTCTTTACATAAGTTGGGGTGTCCTGGATAATATTTTTTAACTCTGTTTTGGTTCACCTAATTTCAAAGGTTTGGTTATGTGCCCGAGAATCAATTTGGTGTACTAATGACTTTTAAATTCATTTCCTAGTCATTAGCAACAAAAATAACATTTTTTCGGGAACAGGAAATGATTTCCGCGCGGTTCGAATATATTACGCCCTTCGGACTTCCAACAGTTCCAACAGCAATTATTCTTGAGCGAGTTTTCTTTTCTACAGCGACATCATAGTCACGCGATTGTTTTGTTGCATTTGCATGCAGGAGGGTGGCCAATCTAGCAGGCCGTGTTTCAATATATGCAAAACGGGGTTTATACGAATGGGAAGCTACAAAACAAGAATATTTGGCGTTGAGCGTGGGACACAAAAGGGATAATTTATGCTTCTATAGTATAGGAATTAATCGTATAATCTAATTTCACCCTGAGTGGTCGTTACCAAATCGAATTTAGTTTTAAAGGGTGCTAGTTCAAGCATTGAAGTTAACACAGAACAAGAGAAAAGTAAATAAACAAATTATTTTAAACCAGATTAAGAAAATTATCGTTTTCAATCAAAACAATGTGATAACCTCGTTATTTTTCCTATCGTTTTCAGGTAACATGGGGACCGTATCGGAAAATATGACCGAAGTCCTGGCAACCGAATCGGTGTCTCCGGTCACACTCAGCGACCACTGGTCGCGTCTAGCAAGACTGATCCTCCTAGCTTCGCTCTCCGCAGTTGGAAGCGTTGGCAACGTGTTTATGATAAGCGCCGTTATGATCGAGGACTATCTGAGAAAACGAGGTAAGTCTCATTCAGGCTAACAAAAATTCAAATTTCTGGAGTTCCTCAGGGCTCTATGCTGGGCCCCCTTTTATTTATAACTTTCATTAATGACGTTGTGGTTGACAGTGATAGAATAGAATCTGCAACAGATGGTTCCGGAATTCAGAATAACTTAAATAAAATGTAAGAATATTGTCTCAAAACCAGCATCATATTGTTTCTTATCATTGAACCGTGACCTGTTTGTGAACTTTGATGTGTCAGTTCATAATAATGAGAAATAAATATACATTTTTCAAAGCACTTGTGAATATAAAAGCATTTGAAATATCGCATTTTATACAAAAAGGGTAAAAAATGATCACACTGTATCATCAATTCGAACAGACAGCTCTAGTACTACCACTTTAATAATTGTACCTTGTCCTTTACATGATATGAACCTACTTAGGTTTTAGATCGCTCATATTTGAGCAAGATTGAACATTCTTTATTTTTTTTATAATTATCTAACCGCCAGTCTGTAAACTCAAAGCACTCGCACAACAGCTACCCCTTTGTAGATACGCCTCAGTACTCTCGCTAATGGAACAAAACTATTTTTGGGTTCTCTTCAAACTGCGATCGAAGTTCTCTATGAATTCTGCATACTTTAAAAAATTTACAGTTCAAGGGGAAGAGTAGGATATATAATTCAGTTACTAAATTACATATTTTATCATTACATCAGAAGTAGTAAGGGAACGGGAAGCCCGAAGATAAATTAATTTTGTAAATTGTATCTGGCAGAGGCGTATTTATATCCGAGAACTCATTTGGTTCATCAGGTGTGTGGGTATATAGAAATTCTAGACAATTTGCTGAGTGATTCTTGTTTCCGCTTATGTTTAGCTGTTTGAAGTGTGTGAAACAATAAAACTAGCTGTTAAAAACAATACTTATTACCTTTAATATACATCAAAAGGAACCCTTATTTGTTTTGTTCTTTGTTCTGGAGAAATGGTGAAATCTTATTTACCTTTTAATCCATTCCAGTGCAGTATGAAGGAAACATATTTTTAGTCAGTTTGTTACGGTTGAAGAAAATCAGAAAACAAAAGCTTTACTCTCTAGTGTTTTGCACACAACGCCTTGAGCTTCGGTTCCTGAATACGTTTTTTCAGGTAGCCTTTTGTTTCTCGAGGATTTGCGAGGAGACGAAAAATCGTAGAAGCAGGTGCACTGTCGTGCATGTGTAATTATGAGAAATGAGAGCATACATCAGTGAACCCTACACGGAAAGTAAAGGAACATTTATTTTTAATCGAGACCTTACTTTTGTTAAAGTTTTCCGATGCTATTAGACATTACTATAATTACTGAATGTGTGGAATTCGTTCGTGTTATCGGGATTGAATATACCATTAAAAATCCTATTTCTTGGAAAAGTTCCGAGATTAGAGAGTTTAAAATTCTTCTGCAAAAGCAACTCTTTTAGAAAAGTGATACATCATCATTGTAGGTGTTGAGAAAATTTTCTTGTGGGAACTGAATATTTAAAACCGTTTCTGTACTATTTTTTTCTCGGTGTAGACCACAACAGACCCAGATCCGATTATATTCGAATACGCTGAATTGTGAACATTCTGCGGATAACCGGGATATCAAAGCGCTTGCCGGCCATTCCATTTTCTACACTTCGAAATTCTCTCCAGTCCACAATCATCTCCTCGCCAATATGTGAACTTGCTCTCCACCTACAATAGACCGATTATGTTGAACATTTGGGGTGGCAATACGATCACAAAGTACGATCCGGGAGTCAATCCCGCGTTAGGGCTGCCCTTCTGCCCTTTCAGACCCCGTAGGGCAACGCGATCTCTTTAGGCACGCGCTCCTACATGACTCTTTCGATGGAATCTTATCAGACGCCGTGCCCCAAACGACAACGGATTAACGTTAAAACCCCAGTAAGTCGACTTCTCTTAACCGCTATAGAAGTTTTCTGGCGCATCTCTAGACATTAGCGGAGGGGAAATTTTACCCCAAGTAAAAATATTGCGATTTAGCCGAACTTACCTTAGTCCAAAAGTTGATAGTTAAAGAGATACAGGGTGTTAAATGTAAAATATTATTTCAGTTTTTTTTCATTTATTCCTTAACAAATGCAAATATCCTCACAACATTTTGGGGATTGGAGTTCTTTGAGTAGAGGAATTGAAATCTGTTCACATTTTGGTCAAAGTTCATAGAGGGCGCTAGCAGCAGTAGATTGAATGTGTTAAAAACGACATAACTTTTTTGTACTTTAAGGTATCTCGTATTAGGTAACTAAATTCTTATTTTTCAACTTTTTTTCCACAAAAAAGGTATACTTTATTAAAGTAGCTATCTCGCACCGTTTTCGAGGTATTTGGCTTTGAAACTTCCAATGCTGTTGCATTAAATTACAATTAAGTGCCCACAGGTATTATTAATTTAGCGATAAAGTTTCTTAAGTAGGATTTGGACGAAAATCAAATAATTGACGTCTTCCACTTGTTTTATTGCTGTCGTTTGTATGCTAATTTCTATTAAGTATTATTCGTATCTAATTAAAATTACACTTAGCTTACAAATTAAGTGGTATACTCGTATACATAAATGTGAGATAGAATGCCGAAAGAGCCCCAAACCCCAAAATATTGTGCAGATAATTTGCATTTATTAAGAAATAAATGGAAATAAATTAAAATAATATTTTACATTAAACACCCTGTATCTCTTTAACTATCAACTTTTGCACTTAGGTAAGTTCGGCTAAATCGCAATATTTTTGCTTCGGGAATCTCCGCATGAATTTTGGCCCATTACCTCGGGACCACCCTGTATTGCACTGAAGTATTTAATGTAGTAAGACCTGAAGATGCAGCACAGTTCTCGTGTTTAGGGTATGTAGAATGATAATATCAAAAAAGTAACTCAAAAGAAGTGACGCAAAGTAGAGTGTGCAAAACAGCTTTATAAACAAATTCTGCCAAGGTCAGGCAAAAGCCGCTCGGGAATTCGCTCTTTTTGCATTAAATATACCTTTATTACATGAACTATCACTGTAAAACTTTTTTGCGCAAATGTGTTCATAATTTTCTCGAAGGTCCATACTATAGCTTCTATTTTTGTCGTAAAAACGAAGGGTTTTTTAAGAATTTCCACATCCTGCATATCCAAAACAAAGCTTCTGTAGATATTCAAACTGCTACTGTTGTTTAACGCCACTCTTTCCGAACGTAAACGGCCAATTTGGTGGGACATGTTAATTAAACTGTGTTTCTGGCGCAAAAAGATCCGTAAAATTTCCGCCGGAAAGCCAATCAAATGAGGTCAGTGCTCATGGCGACAATAAAACTGCAATTTTCCCAGTGGTACTTAAAAGCCCACGCCGTAGATTTATCGGCGATATAGGAGTTTCGCAACAGCGTGTGTTCTAGTTGCTGCGAAGCTTTTAAAATATATGGAATGTCATTGTTCCATGCATGTCAAGAGCGCCGCTGGATGGCCTGGTCCCTGGTCGCCACCCGTCACCCTTAAAATTCAAGCCAGAACTACCCCCTTGACACACAGAACGAGTCGTCTTTAAATAGAGATTGTTTAGGAAAAATTCAGTTTGGTAAAAGTTGCCCAAACAGCAAATTTAAATCTAGTGTGCGTGGAGATAAACTGATTAAAATTAATACGAGATGGAACATAAAAACAACCGTCTCTGGTAATCTAAACTTCAGCTAAGATAAGTCAAAATCATCCCACTGTTATTCACGCAATTACTAACAGTAACATATTTTACGAATATAAGAATTGTGAGATACAGAGCATTAGTCACCTATCCATCTACTATCTGAGAAATGCCATTAATCTTGCTTCCATTACTCACTGCGCGGGATTCGCAACGTGTTAAAAAAAGGAAATTAAAAACGTTCCATTCGCCGGCAACCTCGGAAGGAGCAATAAATTCTCTTCCGTTCCTTAACTAACCGGATTTATCTTTCTTTAACGGCATTTGCACGTAAAATAATTTTATCGGAGGTGAGGTATTTCAATTTAAACCGTCCAAAGGAATTTCACGTCGTTTTTGCGTACGTTTCTTGCTGTGTGACGCGCTCGATCGCCAGACCTAAATCCATGCGATGTCTAACTGTGAGGATAAATTAAACCTTTGTGCACAAAACAGATCTCTTATGTGTTTTTACCATATTTGATGTAAATATACGAATAAAAGTGAACTTAAATTTTCACTTATTCGCCATATGGTAGGGTAAGGCCGATAAATACCCGTTAATTCCATAAAGGGCGCCTATAATTTGTTAAAGTAATCATGAATTTTTAATTACTGCGCCTCTAATTACGACATGACTGACATTCATTTAGAATCGATATTCGGTCGTAAAACTCCGACCGGAGCATAATTCTGCTAATGAAATGTCGTTTATTAAATTCATGGCAGCCAGGACGAACCGCTATGTAGGCGGCGATGGAGGTAAATTTTCACCTCGGTGAGCTGCTTGACGATAAAGTGAAAAAGGAAAATATGTCGCCGGAAAATTCCATAACTTTTGGCGGACGTTCATACTTAAACATTGACGGAGTCTTAAAAAAGCTAAAATGTAGAGGTTCGCCATTATACACCCCGTTGCCACTCCCGTAAACGTGAAATGTCTGGACTACTTCTATTCGTAGCAGAAAGTTCCGATCGAACCATACCTACGCCCAGCGGCCACAACCAGACATTTATTACATTTCGAAAGTTTATAGCTTCTACCATGCTTATTATCAGCCACCACATTTACGGATGAGCATTAAGAAGACTAGGAGTTTGTATAAAATTGAAAAAAAAAAACAACAAATACAGTTTCCCACTCGTATTTACATTTAAATTCATCCCACACATTAATCAAATTATATCTGTATATATAAGACTAGCTGACCCGGCAAACGTTGTTTTGCCATCTTGTGGAACTGTGGTTGGAACAAAGTAATATAAAAATCGCGATTAAAAATCAGGGGTT